ACTATGGAATGCCAAAGTGTATTTTATTTTTTTAAGTGTTTTACAGTTTATACAACTGCTGCAGAGCAGACAGTTCTGAGCACACAATGCTCTGTCTGTCTGGAAAACTTGCCTTTGATTGTATTGCCTGACTGGATCCACTTGCTGATTTATCAGCTGGATAACGGATTTTAATCTGCATGAAAATGGAGCCTGCAAACTGATTTGGATTAATCAGGTCTGACTTTAATTCCTTTTGGTATTCTCATTTGAATAGCACATTCATCACCTGGCCCTCTTTTGATAATAATGTTACTGTAATATCTAATTCCACATTAATTCCATTGTAATTTAGCTGGCATTCATTCTAACAGTAATTTCTATGGAATTAGATCTGATGTCCCCATGAATATCAGAACACCTCAACGTGATAAATGTTATTGCAGTGAATACCGAAGGAAGCAATAAAAAATGCTGTTAAGTCCTGCCCGCAAACCTTTACTGGACATTACCATGTAGCACTAAATGTGTTCGCTTGTAAATCTCAGAAGGATGAATTTCAACACCTTTTATTGTTACGTGATGACTGTTGTGGTCAATACACAACTGGGATATATTTGAATAAGTCATTGTCTTCCTCTAGTTGTGACATGGGTGATAATTTGCCCCAATCAATTGCATACCCTACAACAGGCATGTCCAACTTTCAAGAGACTGAGATCTACTCCCACTACAGTGGTACCTTGGGTTAAGTACTTAATTCATTCTGGAGGTCTGTTCTTAACCTGAAACTGTTCTTAAACTGAAGCACCACTTTAGCTAATGGGGCCTCCCGCTGCTGCTGCACCGCCAGAGCACGATTTCTGTTCTCATCCTGAAGCAAAGTTTTTAACCCGAGGTAATATTTCTGGGTTAGTGGAGTCTGTAACCTGAAGCGTCTGTAACCTCAAGCGTATGTAACCCAAGGTACCCCTGTATTAAAAAACTAGCAGTGATCTACCAATGTTGTTGAGCTTTTTTTAGGTTGGGGGAGCGCAATCTAACGCGATCTACCACAGACACCCCAAAATCTACCAGTAGATCACGATCTACCTGTTAGACATGCCTGCCCTACAATATTTCTCCAATGAAAATAGGGACATCCTTTTCCTATTTTATTTTATTTATTTGTTTACATCCCACTCATCTGACTGGGTTACCCCAGCCACTCTGAGTGGCTTCCAACATATATAAAAACACAACAATACATGAAACATTTATTTTTTTAAATCCTCCCTATACAGGGCTGCCTTCAGATGTCTTCTAAAGGTTGTATAGTTACCTATCTCCTTGGCTCAGGAGTCACATAGCTCCATACCGTTCAACATTTCTCTGATGAAAATAGGAATGTCCTAAGGAAAAGCGGGACATTCCGGGATCAGTTCAGAAACCAGGATGGCTTTTGTAAATCTGGGACTGCCCCTGAAAAATAGGAACACTTGGAGCGTCTGCAGTTGTCCCAAACACAATCACAATCTCTCCCTCTGCAAATATCAATGGGTCTTTGGTTTGTTGAAGATAAAGAAAGTTACCTTTCTTTGAGTTCTTTGACTCAAAGAAAATATCACTTAATGTGCAAGTTCAAAGCCTTCTTAACACACACTAGCAATTCAGAGACACAAGATACATGAGTAATAAAGCTACTTCATTGCTAGGTTTCCGTATGTAACAAGGGAGAGTTCTCTTAGAACAGGCATTTCCAAAGTTCGGCCCCCTGGTTGATTTAATCCGGCCCCCGGCCCTCCAAGCAATTCTGAGAAATGAATCTGTTGCGGCCCCCAATGACTTCAATCCTAAAAAAAAGCTCAACAACTTTGGCCGACCCTCACACATGTTCACGTCATCAAATCTGGCCCCCTTTGAAAAAAGTTTGGACACCACTGTCTTAGAATAAAGGATGAGAATGGAGAACCTTCAAGATCTCTCTCCCTCTCTCTCTCTCTCTCTCTCTCTCCTCCATGTGGTGACCCTATCAGACTTGCAGCTTGAGCCATCTTCCTGGCAGAGTAAAATTCTGAGGCTCTGAACTGCCCCCACTCATGGAGACTAGCCATTAAACCTCCTGTTTGGGTTTAGACCTCACCTGAGCAACAAGATTTAAAGCTTTCCTGGATCTGATGTGCTCCTGAGCTCTTCTAAGTGCCGACTCCTTTGTCCAGCTCCTGGCTTCTGGGCCACCACTTATCCAATGGTATTTGCCTACAGCCTAGCCTCGACACTTGTCCAAACCACCCTCTCCAACAGTGTCTCTTCAAATAGCCTTTACAACAGCACATTGTGGACACAATTCCTAAAAATGAACAATCTGTAGAAATAACAGATGGAGACAACTGTAGACATGGCCCCTTCTGCATGACGACAGAGTCCTCAAAAATGGGTGGTGGTGAATCAGGCAAGTGGAATGCAGACAGCAGCTACTTGCTAAAGTCTAGCTTTCATAGCCCCTGCAGATCCCACCTTCCACCTCCTTAACCCATTGCTAATTGATATATGCAGGGCACAGAAGTCACAAGTTTGAACTATAAATGGGTGTGTGTGTTTGAAGCACAATATTTTATGTTCATCCACACAAGCCTCCCCACCAGACTCCAGGAATCCTTAACTTTATATATATTGATTTGTTCCTTTAAAACATTTCTAACTTGCCCTTCCTTGAAATCAATCCTAGGGCAGGATACAAGCACAGTAAAAGAACCCATGTTGAAACAATAAATATATGAACTCTGTGTAAGGCATGGCATGTTTGTTACGGTGCAAAGGTTGCATGATTAATGCAGATAGATGATGGTAGGAAATTAGTAAGGACAGGACTAAAAAGAAGGTCACAGCGACCAACAGATGATGAAGAGCCATGCCAACAGCTGGTTGGCCTGCAGGTCGATCACCCACTGTTGCCTTTGGGGCAGGAGTCAACAGACTCGCTAATGCTGAATTGGAACACATGGATATTTAGATATAGAGATGATTGGACCTGTATTATCCGCACTTTGGAAACATCTTCAAAGCAAGATATTTCTCTGCACCCACATTATTGCTCATCTCCACTGCTTCTCTCTTTTCAAGGTTGCATCAGTGATGGTTGCATCCTGTAAGATACGGGATGATTTACTCACAGCAATGCAATTATATAGCCTAGGTCAGGCTTCCTCAACCTCGGCCCTCCAAATGTTTATGGCCTACAACTCCCATGATCCCTAGCTAGCAGGACCAGTGGTCAGGGATGCTGGGAATTGTAGTCTCAAAACATCTGGAGGGCCGAGGTTGAGGAAGCCTGGCCTAGGTTCTTGCTAATGGACCTATCACAAATCTCAAGTGGAGTGTATGCTGGATCAGGCCATTGGCCCATCTAGTCCAGCTTCCTGTTCTCACAGTGCCCAACCGGATGTTTGTAGGAAACCCATAAGAAGGATATGCTGCCTCATTGCGAGCAACCATCATGGCTAGTAGCCATTGATCACTCATTGTATATACTGAAATCAACATGGATCCTGTCCCATGTTGAAAATTAATTAGTGGGGGGGGGGGGAATGAGACCTTTAGGTAAAGGGCACCCAGTTCAGTGGAGGTAGAACATGGCATTGCAGCTAGCAGCCACAGTTTGTATTGTCTACACAATTACAATTCCCATCTAGACTAGGTTTGTGGAGAGGCCTTCAAGCCCCCTTGTTCTCAACCAGAACAACTTCCATTTTAAACAAGCCCGAGATCACAGCCACAAGGGTTTCTTGCAATTGCTCTTCAAACTTACTCAGCAGTGTTGTCTTTGGAGAACCGCAGGTTTTATCCTTTTTGTCTGGGAATTTGATGTCTTTATCAGAATGAGGGTCTGGTTCCGCTCTTCCCGATAAAAGATTTCTCGAGTTTTCCAAAGAGGCCTTCGGCTAGATTGCAGTGATCAAGTCGTAGAAAAGACAGGCACTCAGGAAGATGGTGATTGGTCGTGGTAAAAAGAGAGAGAAGTAAATAAGACTGTGAACAATAAGAGATGCAAGCCCTGATATCTTCATCCCTCTACAATCCATCTGTTTTTAGGCATTCTGCTTTCTAATATTGTGCTGCTTAAAATAAATAAATATACGCTCACTTGCTATGCCCTGATCGCTGGGGCTCTGACACAGCAGCAAAACATGCTGGGGAAACCAGCTGAGATGAATGGGGGATACATTGCTCCACATAAATTGAGTTCACTAGCTTAGTTAATCTGCTATAACAGATGTTCAGGGATGCAAAAACCCAATTCTGATTGAGATGCCCTCATTTTACAGACCAGAGCCCCAGCTCCCAGGAGAATCATGCCCCAGAGAAAATGGGGAGGGGGGTGAGACCTTATAAGAACTACTAGGGGGAAAGAAGGGAAGTCATCAAGTAGGCCAGGCTTCCCCCATTTGACTCTTTGTGATAATATTTTATTAGCACGAATGCTCGGATTGGGTTTCTTTAACTGCCAGGAACGGCTTCAAAAATATTGACCCGACTTCAGGTTTCAGAAAATGAAACCATTTTGGTGTATAAGTATGTAATGGAAATGGGAGTACATGGGAACATAGGAAGCTGCTCTCTACATACCCTCCAACATTCCTCGGGTGAAAATAGGAACATAATCTACATCAGGGTTGGTTTCGTGTGCCCTTCGCATGCCTCAGCCTCTGAGAAGGCGGCACACGGTGCGAAGGGCATGTGAAACCCACCCTGATGTAGAATATGTTCCTATTTTCACCCGAGGAATGTTGGAGGGTATGTAGAGAGCTGGAGCCATCCCTTCTTCCTATTGGTGGAGTGAGGGACAGGTGGCAAGAAAATAAGAAACACACTGGAATTTTAAACGCAAGACTGTACATCACGGGGACTTCACCAAGAGAGGCTGCAGCAGCCTTGGAAGCATCAGACACAGAGTAAGGATTCCAAATCATAGACTCATAGAATTGTAGAGTTGGAAGGGACCTTGAGGATCATTTAGTCCAACCCCCTGCAATGCAGGATTATGCAGCTGTACCATATGGGGATCGAACCTGCAACCTTGGCATCATCAGCACCATGCTCTCACCAACTGAGCTATCCAGGCTGCATGTATTCATTAGCATCAGAGATGTTGTTCTCAGCAGCTGCAGTTCAAAAGTACACTGCCTCTGAAGTGGAAGTAGAAGACCAGAGTTGACAGCCGTCAACAGTTTTATTCTCCATGAATTTGTCTAACCCTCTTTGAAAGACACCCAAGTTAATGCCCAGCTAGTATTACTTCCAATTCGACATTTAAACTCTGCAACCCTTCAGCCCATATTCTGTACCCACTAACTTGATTGTGTGAATGCACCATCTGAAGTTAGACACAGATCAACTAGTAAAAAATAATAAATCTGTTGCTTTTTGCTGAACTTCCGCGCTGAGCAGAGAGGTAGGGAAAGCTGCTCCGTTTCCTTCTGAATTGGGTCCTCTCTTCACGCTCCAAGCTCCTTAACCTCCCCAGAGCTACATTTGTAGCATTTCCGCACACCCCTGAAAACATCCATTAGCTCTAGAAAACTATCAACGGGAACAGTGTCCGAAAGCCATTTTTGCAGGGCAATTGTGTACCGCTGCCATTCCTTCATCTCCGTCACACTCAACTTTCATGCCCCTTCCCCGCTGTGATGCCACAGCGATCCACCCATCCCTGGATTTGTCCAAAAGGGTTTGAGGCATGTCGGTTTATCAGCCTGTGACCTTTTCTATTAACACTGTCTTCAGGTTGGCTTGGCAGCGCACATGGAAAATAAATCTTGTTACCCAGGGCTAAGCTTGCTGGTTGGGACAGTACAGCTGTGGCAGAAAACTGTGGAATTTTTTTAAATTGCGAACATTGCTAGGTCTACATATAATTTATTAGCTAGAACGATCCCCAGGAGGAACGGAAAAATAAAAGTCAGACAAATGGATGCCATTAAAACAGCTCAGAGAGAGAGAGAGAGAGAGAGGCAGTTTCTGTACTCCTGGCAAAAGTTGCATTGTTTAGCTTATTTATAACCGGGATCGCCACCTTGGAGATAATGCAAATAAAGCTATCCCATAAATTACGTGACCTTTTCATCTTGCAATCTCCAGGAGATCTAAATGGAAATGAACCCAAGAAGCCGCAGTCCACCTCGAGTCTCTGCTGACCTTGTTTATCGCTCTCACCCATATGTTCATAATCTTCCTCTTTCAGGAGAAGTTTTGGTAATGGAGGGCAAGGGAGAGACGTTTAAGAACTTCAAAGCATAGACAAACCTTTCGCGACCAAGGCGGTCTCCTTTCCCCCTGGCTCCTTTGATATTCAGTGACAGGAGATAGGAGTCTGGGAAATGATATTTCCCAGAATGCTCTTTGCCATGACATTTGTATTGGGTGTCCAGGACTGCCTTACCATTTGTAAGATGGGGGAAGGAAGAAATTCAACCTTTCACATACACACACACACACACACACACACACACACACACACACATTTCTAGCTCGCTCATCTCCTCCACTGCCCGCCAACATCACTCCTTTGAGGCAATAAATGAACCGGAGCATTTAATATATGGAAGGCATCAATAAATAATATATCTGGGGAACCAAAATGGAATTCAAAATGAACACATAGGATCATAGAATTGTAGAGGTGGAAGGGACTCTGCGGGTCAACTGTTCCAACCCCCTGCAATGTAGGAATCTTCACCAGATCATAGGTGGAGCTGTGATCAAATACAGTCATTAACACACTGCTAAGCTCAAGAGTTGATTACTGCAATGTGATCTATGTGGGGTGAGCCTTGAGGAACTCTGGCTGGTGCAAAATACTGAGGACTAGACTCTTGGTGGGTATGTTACTGCCAGCATATAACACCAATGCTTCAATGCTCATGCTGGATGCTCAAAAATTATCAGCCCAACTTAAAGATGTTGGCTATTTGCAGTATAGTAACGCTGCAGAGAGCTTGCTGGGGAGACCATGCATTAAAAAGGACTCAAAAATAACTTAAACAAGGCTTTAATAACAAAACAAAAACTCCTTATACACTAAATACATCAACAACAAACCAGTCCCAACCACCAACCCATCCCCCAGGGTAATGGGAGAGGTAGGTGCTGCTCCTTATATACTACACCCAGTTGCTGACACAGCTTAATCAATACAACTCAGCAGCACCTGCTATGTTTCACAGCTGTAAAGCTGGGTCTCGTTATTTTGCTCTGGTCCTTGCTCTGGCCCCTTAAAGACATACACATCGGGTGGAACAATGATGAACCTTTACATTTAAAGAAACCATTCAACACAAGGTTGTTACAGAGTGTTTCAATTATCAATTCAACTTCCCATTAGCTAAAGTGTTGCTTCATGTTAAGAACAGTTTCAGGTTAAGAATGGAACTCCAGAACGAATTAAGGTCTTGCTCCGAGGTATCACTGTATTATTATTATTAGTAGTAGTAGTAAATCCATATATTCCCTAGACTTCTATTCCAAACCCTTCTGGGACAGTGATAAGATGCAACTTTAACAAAGTTGCTAAAAGCCATCCTGAACCCACAGGGTAGACTGGGCGTAATAAACAAATGGCAATCACTTCCATTAATCAATTCATTAAAGGCACGTACAAAGTAAATCTTGCAAAAGTTCCACCTCACAGTTCCGTCTAATGTAAAATCTCAAGAGACAAGAGAAAGTTTTTTAAAGACCTTCTTTTACAAGCCGAATGTGCTCATTGCTAAAACGTAAGATGCATCTGGATGCATGTTAATAATAATAGCAATAATAATAATTGAAAAAAAAATTGAAAAATAAAACCAGCCACCCCTTCAGCTTTTTCTGAACGACTCACTGGAAGTTTCCCTTTTTCCCACTGGGTGCCTTTGATGTGCTGGCACATCAAAGGCAAGCAGAAAAGCATTCTCGGCTTTTTGCGTCTTTCCCACTGTGCAAAATGCGCATTGACCCACTTTCTCTCACACCCACCCACCCTGCCTCCCTCCCTCTCTGCTCCGTGTCCTTGATTCATGTAGAAGAAAGACATGAAATCCCCTGATCTGGGAGCTTTCATTGTCTGTTCGTTTAGCTTCCACTGTGGGCTGGGGACCCAAAGGCTTTTTTTGCAGGCGGCAGCTGCTTCTCTCAAGCAAACTCCTGAGTTACAACGTTCCTCAGCCGTGACAAACATATTGCTTGACGTTCAAAGGAGCCTCGTGCCCGCCTTCACCCAAGACATGCTCTGAGCACATTGACAGACCTTCCTGGAGCCTAGACAAGGGAAGCAAAGCCCCCAGCCGAATTGAAATTCAGGCCATTTCCCCATTTTCTCATTCTTGTAACTTAAGTGAAGCCTGAGCCTTTTGGTATCTGCTGAAGAGATGAGCTAGGATGGGAATGGGAATGGGAGGAGGTTCATTGTGGGGAGTTGGTGGGACTCGCCTCCTGTAAAACACACCTTCCATTTTGGAGAAAATTGGGGGGGGGGGCGTGATCCTGCAAATTACAGTGAACACCAGTGTGGCAGAAGGAGCCATTGTCCTTGCTTTGTTTTGGCTTTAGAGAAGGGCTGAAGCTCAGTGGTAGGTCATCTGCTTTGCATGCAGAAGGTCTCAGGTTCAATCCCTTGCCCATCCAGGTAGAGCTTCTGAGCATCTTCTGCCTGAAACCCTGAAGAGCTACTGCTAGGCAGTGCATATCCATCAAGTGCCCTGAAAAAATGGGACATCCAGGTTTTCTTCTCGCGAGACGACAGCAGCCAAAATGGCTGCCGTGATCTTGCACAATTTCAGGCTGCACATTTTCTGGGCATGGTGCTCAAAAACACTTGTTTTGGGGAACTGTGCCCAGAAGAAAAAGGCTTGGGGAGTGAAATATACTCGGAGTCAAGTGTGGATTTCATGCTCTTTATTCAGCTCATAGTAGTGAGGAATGGAAGTTCCCCCCGAAATGTCTGCTTTATATAAATTATTTACACAATGGGCCCCATGTGATTGGCTAATTCTGGGATTCTCCTATAGGCCAATCAGGTTGCAGATTCACTTCCACCTGGAGTTGGATTGAGTGGCTCCTGCGGACCAATCAGACTGCTGCATTCTGAATCCTATTGTTCTGGGACCAATCAGATTGCTGCATTTTGGATCCTATTCAACTCAGTACATAACAGGGAGCACACGATCTCATGTGGTTAACGTGACTTTTTCAGGACTGTGGCCCTGGAAGATAGTGTCCCAGTTTGGGGCCACTTCATTTTGGAGGCACGACAGTGTAGACCAGGGGTTGTCAACCTGGTCCCTACTGCCCACTAGTGGGTGTTTCAGGATTCTAGGTGGGCAGTAGGGGGTTCTATGGCACAAGCTGAATCCTCCTTCCATTGAGCACTGGTGGGCGGTAAGGAAACTGGACCATCAATAAAGATGCATTAGTGGGCATTAGAATACACAGAGGAACTATACCAGAAAGAAATGGATGTCTCGTATACCCCAGGTAGTGTGGTTGCTGACCTTGAGCCAGACATCCTGGAGAGTGAAGTCAAATGGGCCTTAGAAAGCATTGCTAATAACAAGGCCAGTGGAAGTGATGATATTCCAGCTGAACTATTTAAAATTTTAAAAGATGATGCTGTTAAAGTGCTACACTCAATATGCCAGCAAGTTTGGAAAACTCAGCAGTGGCCAGAGGATTGGAGAAGATCAGTCTACATCCCAATCCCAAAGAAGGGAAGTGCCAAAGAATGCCCCAACTACCGCACAATTGCACTCATTTCACACGCTAGCAAGATTATGCTTAAAATTCTACAAGGCAGGCTTAAGCAGTATGTGGACCGATAACTCCCAGAAGTGCAAGCTGGATTTAGAAGAGGCAGAGGAACCAGAGACCAAATTGCAAACATGCGCTGGATTATGGAGAAAGCTAGAGAGTTCCAGAAAGACATCTACTTCTGTTTCATTGACTATGCAAAAGCCTTTGACTGTGTCGACCACAACAAACTATGGCAAGTTCTTAAAAAAATGGGAGTGCCTGATCACTTCATCTGTCTCCTGAGAAATCTCTATGTGGGACAAGAAGCTACAGCTAGAACTGGATATGGAACAACTGATTGGTTCAAAATTGGGAAAGGAGTACGGCAAGGCTGTATATTGTCCCCCTACTTATTTAACTTATATGCAGAATTCATCATGCGAAAGGCTGGGCTGGATGATTCCCAAGCCGGAATTAAGATCGCCGGAAGAAACATCAACAACCTCAGATATGCAGATGACACAACCTTGATGGCAGAAAGTGAGGAGGAATTAAAGAACCTTTTAATGAGGGTGAAAGAGGAGAGCGCAAAATATGGTCTGAAGCTCAACATCAAAAAAACGAAGATCATGGCCACTGGACCCATCACCTCCTGGCAAATAGAAGGGGAAGAAATGGAGGCAGTGAGAGATTTTACTTTCTTGGGCTCCATGATCACTGCAGATGGTGACAGCAGTCACGAAATTAAAAGACGCCTGCTCCTTGGGAGAAAGGCGATGGCAAACCTAGACAGCATCTTAAAAAGCAGAGACATCACCTTACCAACAAAGGTCCGTATAGTTAAAGCCATGGTTTTCCCAGTAGTGATGTATGGAAGTGAGAGCTGGACCATAAAGAAGGCTGATCGCCGAAGAATTGATGCTTTTGAATTATGGTGCTGGAGGAGACTCTTGAGAGTTCCATGGACTGCAAGAAGATCAAACGTATCCATTCTTAAGGAAATCAGCCCTAAGTGCTCACTGGAAGGACAGATCGTGAAGCTGAGGCTCCAATACTTTGGCCACCTCATGAGAAGAGAAGACTCCCTGGGAAAGACCCTGATGCTGGGAAGGATGGAGGGCACAAGGAGAAGGGGACGACAGAGGACGAGATGGTTGGACAGTGTTCTTGAAGCTACAAACATGAGTCTGACCAAACTGCGGGAGGCAGTGGAAGACAGGAGTGCCTAGCGTGCTCTTGTCCATGGGGTCACGAAGAGTCGGACACGACTAAACGACTAAACAACAACAGTGGGCGGTAGGTATAAAAAGGTTGAGTACCCCTGGTGTAGACAATACTTAGCCAGATGTGCCTGTGGTCTGGCTCCATATAAATGACTCCTATCGTCCTACGATGTCATCAAGCAGTCAAGAGAAAAATGATGGGCTGCAAAGCCTACTTGGCTTCATTGCACTGGCTGGGATCATGGAGGCAGCAGCAGTAGGAACCCTGATCCTTTATTTAGGTAAAGGTAAAGGGACCCCTGACCGTTAGGTCCAGTAATGGATGACTCTGGGGTTGCGGCGCTCATCTTGCTTTATTGGCCGAGGGAGCCGGCGTACAGCATGTGGCCAGCATGACTAAGCTGCTTCTGGCAAACCAGAGCAATGCATGGAAACACAGTTTACCTTCTGTGGTGGGTATATTTATTCTGGGCTGCTGTGATTTTTATTGAGGGCTTTTAAATGTCTTTTATTAAGTGGTTTTAATTCCTTTATTTTCATTTTTTAAAAAGAAAAGAAACATTGTTATTTTATGATAGGCACCTTAAACTTTTGCAGAAAAGGAGCCAGGTTAACATACAGCTTAGTGTGTCAGACTACAAACTGGGATACCAGGTTTCAGACCCCAACTCAGCTGTGATCTTGAGACATCACATATAGTCATACCTCATGTTGCATTAGGTTCATGTTGCGTCTTTTCGGCTTGCGAATGCGGTATACTTCCAGGTTTCGCCGCGCTCACGCGCAAAAGCATTCTGTGCGCTTCGCGCATGCGCAGAAGCGCTCTATCGCATTCCACACTTGCACAGAAGCGCCACTCTAGTTGTGGACTTTTTGGGGTATGAATGGCACCCTGGAATGGATTGTGTCCGCAACTAGCGGTACCACTGTATCTCAGCCTAACCACTCTCTCAGCGTTGTTCTGAGGAACACAGAGAGAGAGAGAGAGGCGAGAGCCTTGACCTTTTCCAAAGAAAGCATTTTGATTATTTATTTATTTTAACACTCAAGTGGTATATAAATGTTATGAAATAAATACATATAAATGCGGAAAAAAATGATGCATGGTAATTTATTTTTATTTTTTTGCAAGGGAGGTAAGTGGTTATGGAGATCGTTTGAGAGGCCCTCAAACCCCACTTTTTCATTTCAAATAATTACTTGGGAAAACTCAGCTCAGCCTTCAAGTGCAATAGTTGGTTTAAAATACATGGCAGCTTCTTCTTCTTCTTTTTTAAAAAAACTATTTTTAGTTGTAAGGGGTTTACACTTGCTTCCTCCCAGGTCTTTATCCAGCTGTTCGAGAGGCAGAAGGCAGAGAACTCTCACTGCTTTTCCGATTACTGAGTGCTAATTGGATTCGATCTCTTAATCAAAGATGGTGTGCTGTGAGAGTGTGCAGAGCCTCCTAGGTTGATTCCACACTAGCCATTTCCTCCAGTATTGATGACACCCACCCATTTATTCCAGCTGCACCCCCAAGTTTCTTTGAGACTGTTAGCCTTAACAAGAACCTAAGATGTGCCTGCTATATCAGGTCCATGGCCCATGTAGTCCAGCATACCTGTTCTAAGAGAGGCTGACCAGAGGTCTGTGGGAAGCCTGAAAGACTGGCAGCCACCATAGCAAACAGCCATCAATCTTCTTGTCTTCCATGAATTTGCGGAACCCTCTTTATAATTTAATTTTAATTTTATTATTTGTACCTTGTCCATCTGACTGGGTTGCCCCAGCCACTCTGTGTGGCTTCCAGCATATACAAAAACACAACAAAACATTAAACATAAAAAAAAAACCTTTCCCATACAGGGCTGCCTTCAGATGTCTCCTAAAGGTTGTGTAGATACTAATCTCCTTGACTTCTGATGGGAAGACGGGTGCTACTACCGAGAAGGTCCTCTGCCTGTTTCCCTGTGACTTCACTTCTCACAGTGAGGGAACTTCCAGAAAGCCCTCAGAGCTGGATCTCAGTGTCTGGGCTGAACGACAGGGGTGGAGATGCTTCTTCAGGCTTCAAAGGTCATGACCAACACTTTGAATTGTGCTTGGAATCATACTGCCATCCTAGTTGAGGGCCACCACTCCTTCCTTTAGGTGTGGCTTCTATAGTTCAACTATACACTGTGGTGAAGTGCAATGGAATCTCCACGTTCAAAGGCATGGAGGGGAAGGGCCATAGCTCAGTGGTAGAACATCTGCTTTCAGTGCAGAAGGTCCCAGGTTCGGTCCTCAGCATCTCCAGGTAAAGCTATCTGATTATACAGCGCAAGCTCCTTTTCCCACAAACATCCTCAGGACCTCTTCACCTGGGTTTTTGTTCTTCAGCTGGGAGAGGAACCCTGGTTGAATCCCTGGAGAGCCACTGCCAATCAATGTACACAATGATGAAGTAGATGAACCAATGGTCTGACTCAGTATATGGAGTCTCTCTTGAAGAGGGAGAAAAATTTTGAGCAGCTGGAATGCAGATTTGCAACAGCACTCTAGAAGATTGTTCCTTCTGACTTCAGTGGCCTCCAAGTCAAGACCAGGGAATGCCAAACCACCCTTTCCCCTTTGGCTCCAATATATATGAAGCCCTACAGCAAATCATTTTTTACATCAAACCAGCTTTATCGAATTTCTAAAGTTCTTTTTCTGTGAAATGACCTTTTGGGATTTCACAAACTTTGGTGGCAGTTGTGTGCAGACTTTTAGCCCTTAAAAAAAAAATCTATAATAAACGCCTGTCAGGTATTGCTGCAACAAGATAACATATTACCCCTACCACTGGGATCAATCAAACCCAAGTGGCTGAGATTCAATACGTCTTGTCTAAAGGATGTGAAATTTACTGAATAAATTAAGGGGGAACTTTGCAGAACCCTGGGCCATAAATTGGCTGGTAGAACTCCAACAGGCAGATTCTTCATGTGGAATGCAATGAAGAAAGTGCAATCGTGATTGAGAATATACACACTGATCCTTTTGTTCTGAACCACATGTGATGATTGCACTAAAGCACCTATATTTCTAACCTGTTCCATGGTAATACAACCTGCATGACTATTACTATAAGCATGTAAATAGGCCTCTATGCTAGGCTATATGCATAAATGCCAAAGGGCTTTCAAATGTGTGTCAGAACCATATGCAAATATTACTATAATGCAGAAAAGGCAGTGGTGGTATCTGGGCGGGAGCTGTATCTGGAGCAGTACTCTGAATAAAAGTTAGCTGAATCCCAGGCTATGGGGCTCAAATTTCTTAAGGGCTATCACATGGAAGATGGAGCAAGCTTGTTTTCTCCTGCTCTGGAGAGTAGGATTTGAACCAATGGCTTCAAGTTACAGGAAAGGAGATTCTGACTAAATATCAGGAAGAAGTTTGTGACAGTAAGAGCTGTTTGACACTTGAAAGGACTCCCTTCAGAGATTGTGGACACTCTTTCCTTGGAGGTTTTTAAGCAGAGTGTCACGGTCCAGTTTACGGGTGGTCAAAGTCCCGGATGAGGACGTCGGGACCGGGGGCAAGACGGTGGGGTGGGAGCAGGAACGAGAGTCCGGAAGCCAGGAGTCTGGAAGACAAGAGTCTGAGGGTCAGAGTGCCGGGATTCAAGAAGCCAAGGGTCCATGGATCAGGAAGCAAGGAGTCAAGAAGCTGAATGCAATAAGACAGGAAGCATGTTGTTGTGGCAAAGACCCAATGGAAAATGCTGACCTTATATCCCTTCCCGGCTCTTGCCACCACGTGCAGTGAGTTACCAATCGGCCTCACCTGTGAGGCTGCACCTTAACTCTCCAGAACGAACTTAGGAAAGCCCCAGTCCTGCGAAGCCCTACCAGTCACAGGGCCTGGCTCCTGCACACACTCCCGACACAGAGGTTGGGTAGCCATCTGTCATGGATACTTTAGTTGAAATTCCTGAATTGCAGGGGTTTGGACTAGATGACCTTTGGGTCCCTTCCAACTCTATGATTCTATGAAGTCTCATCACTGGAAGCCCCATGCAAGGACTTCCACTTGTGCAATGGGACTTTCACCCTCTCCTCTACCCCCTGTGACCCCCAGAATTGGCTCTGTGGGTTTGGAGAACCTTCAGAATGTTTGCTTTCTGTCTCCAAACCTTTATTACGCATTACAGATATAGACCATCTTAAAACATCCATATACAAAATTTTTAAAACATGTACAAAGAAGCAGCCTTATAAGATGCTGTATATAGTAACAGATATTTTCATTGTAATTTCTTCCTGCTAAACCGTGCCATTCACCACTCTAAGAGATACTATTGACAGAATCTCAGCCACCCTTGCAGTTACCTTCAGGTTAATATCAGACAGGTAGAATCTGATATTTTCCATTGTGCCATGATGTTAAACTAGCCCAAAAGGGGGATAAAATGCATTTACATAGTTCGTTGTACAATGGACAGTAGAAAAGAGTATGTTCTACAGTATCTGGCACATTCAGATAACATCCACAATGTCTATCATTTCTAGGGATGCTTAAATATCTGCCCTTAAAAGCTGAGGAGAAACCGTTCAGTTAGGCTGACATAAATGCCCTGTGTTGGGCTGGAATTATTAACTTTGAGATATAGGTGATCCTGTTATTGGTTGTATTTAAACCATAGAACTTGGGGTAGCAGATTTTATTTGCAGCTGACTCAATGTTCTGTTTTTCAATATCCCTTAATCTAATTTGGATATTGTGATAAATATATTGCTCACTAGAATTATACAATAATTTCAAGTCAATACACCAATAGATCTAATTTTTTCTGTATATGAGTTGGAGCCATCTGGATTTATAGGAGTTCTTAAGTAAATCGGAAAGCCGACTCGAAGGTTGGGAATGAAAATGGCAATGCAGCCAGTATTTTATAGCGCTAGTCCACACCCAATATTCCATCATGTGTATAGCTAATTCTGCACACATCGTCTCATACTTGATTGAATTTGGGAGCCCAAGGATACGTCTCAAGAAACTAGAGTGCATCTTATCTAAATCACTATCATATGCTTGTATCCATATTGGGGAGTAGGTGGCGCTGTGGTCCAAACCACTGTGCTGCTTGGGCTTGCTGATTGGAAGGTCGGCGGTTCGAATCCCCGCGACGGGGTGAGCTCCCGTTGCTCAGTCCCAGCTCCTGCCAACCTAGCAGTTCGAAAGCACATCAAAGTGCAAGTAGATAAATAGGTACCACTCCAGTGGGAAGGTAAATGGTGTTTCCGTCCACTGCTGTGGTTTTGCCAGAAGCGGCTTAGTCATGCTGGCCACATGACCCAGAAAAACTGTCTGCAGAAGCGGACAAACACTGGCTCCCTTGGCCTGTAAAGCAAAATGAGCTCCGCAACCCCAGAGTCGTTTGTGACTGGACTTAACTGTCAGACGTCCCTTTACCTTTACCTTTATCCATATTGGGATCCCAAAAAGTAGCTGGGACGACACTTCAGCTTGAAAAATCTGAATGGCAGCTGGTGTAAATAGGTTACCTTTCTGAAAATAAAAGCAAGCTACTGCTAAGGAGGTACACTTTGCCTGTTTTATAGCACTTGTGTGATGGTTTGAACAACATGAGTTGCTCTGGAATAAAATTCTGAGATATCTATGCATCCTTACTTGTTGGATTTCTTGTCCTCTTATTTCCATTTCTCTAGTTTCCAGGAGTTAGAGAAGATCAGAACTTTTGACTTCTCATAATTTATAGAGGGCTTGTTAATTTCACAGTAAGAAACCAAGGAGAGTAAAGGACAATTCAAACTGATCCTCGTCTGTCGCATCATCCACGTACAGTAAAAGTGGGACTGGGTTTTGGATGATTTTGGGGGCCTGTGATTCTATTTTTTGGATATGCTCTGGAAAATCTAATACACTCAAATCTCAGTCCCTGAACACCTCCATTTTGGAACATTTTGGCTCCCAAACGTCGAAAACGTAGAAGTAAATGTTCCGGTTTTCTAACGTTTTTCAGAAGCCAAATGTCTGACATGGCTTCCATTTGAGCGCAGGAAGCTCCTGCAGCCAATCGGAAGCCACACCTCAGTTGCTGAATATTTCGGAAGCCGGACAGGCTTCCACAACGGATTATGTTCAACAACCAAGGTTTAACTGTAAAAACAAATTAAAGAGAAAAGGGGCAAGAATACACCTTTGTTGTACAGCTTTTACGTTAGGGATATCAGAGGTGACCTTTGATATTGAGTTTGATTTGGGAGATGTTAAAAGAATATAAATTCTGTATTAAGATCAACAAATGTCGATCAATTCCTAACTCTGCAAGCTTCTCCCACAATATCACACGATCGACTGAATCAAAGGCACCACGGAGATCTACGAATGCTGCATAAATTTTGGACTGGTTTTGAAATCTGTATTTTTCAACCAAATGTATAAGTATGAGACAATAGTCTAAAATGGAGCAGCCATTTCACCCTTGGCCACACCTCTAGTCTGTCCAGTTTGTTATCGTTGGTCTCCTTTCCATTCAATTCACTGTGCAGGTAATTAAATATAGATATGAAATACTGGGTCCATTTGGATTCTGCAATTGGTGGAACAACTAAATGGTCACCAGTTTTCAGGCCTTCATACACGAACAACTAAAACACTTTGTTGTTTTTGTTTTGGATAGAGTCTAGTAATTGGGACCATTTGGGGGAGGCATATTTCTATTTCTTTGAAATGATGAAATATTTGTACCAATGGAACATTCACCACAGGGCTTTTTTTCAGCCGGAACTCAGTTTCGGCTCCTCTCAAGTGGGTGCCATTGCCATTATAAGAAATTGAGGGAGGCATTCTTGGTGAGTTTTTGTACCTCTTTTTCTAGAAAAATAGCACCGGTTCAACATAGTGTGAAGTTCGATTCCTAATTCCGTGGTGTGTGTATGTGTGTGTGTTGAATTGCACATTGCATTTTAATTGCGATATTTTTGTTGCCCACCCTGGGACCATTTAGTGAAAAACAGGCTATAAGTATTAATAATAAATCAATGAATTGCATATGCTCTTTGAGTAGGGGCTTGGGGAGTTCCACATCATCTGAAACCAACTTCTCTTTAAAACAAAGAACACAAAAGACTTCGGCATCAGTAGAAAACCTAAATAAGCCTTCAAGAAATAGTTGCTATGCCCTTGGCAGCCAAAGTCCTTGATTCTCATAAAGCTTCTGTGCCCTGGCTTAAAATGATTAGGAGTATGACATGGCCAAAATTGCCTTCGTACAGGCTTCTTACTCCGGAGATTAATGACAAACT